CATGCGGGTCTTTGGCCCCTTGAGTGTGGCTCTTCCTAAGCCTTAGGAGTACCCTAATTAAGTTAATAACAGTGTACCTACCTATATAGTTTAAGTTTAAAAAATTTGGCTCTCAAAAGAAATTTCAATCGTTGTACTGTTGATATTTGGCTCTGTTGACTAATGAGTTTGCCGACCACTGGTCTAGTGTAATAAAAATAAAGGGAAAGAAATTTTAAATGCAGCTTTATAGACAAATTTGTCGCAACTCAAAGAGGCAAACATGGTAATAGTATCAAGTGCACAGGCTCTGGGGCCAGGTAGACTTGGGTTCTCATTCCAGCTCTGTTACTGATTAGTTGAATAGTCCTGGGCAAGTTAGTTCACCTTTTTAAGTTCCAGGGTTTCCACTTTGCTAAAGGGGAGGGGGCAGTGAAATTACTGCATAAAATTACTCGAGAGAGCTGCACAGAACAGTGACTCGTTCTTACTTCCAGGCACAGTTCTAAGTGCTTTCACATACCAGCCCATTGATTCCTCTCTGTCATTCACCACTTGGCTGTCCTGCCCCTCCAAGCCAGAACAGGGCCTCAGCCTTTGTAGGTGCTCATCAGACTGTAAGCAAAATCTTTTTGAGCAGAAGAAAAAGATGCCTCTGGTGGCCAAAACAAAGCTAGAGGGTTGCTTTCTTAACCCAGGGGGAAGATTGTTCACCATTCTGACCCGAAGCTTGCATTCTGTTTCTAGAACTATATCTGGCACATACTGGGAATTCTCCACAGTCTACTGCAGAGACCTGGTCAATAGGCCGTGAATTGCCTTTAGACATTAGTCTCTCACTCAATAATATCATATGATTTAGAGTTTGAAGGCGTCCCACCTACCCACGAAACCAGTAGTTTTCCATAGACAACAGAAACCTCACTTGTTTTTCCTGTCACATGATGAAATAGTCACTTGACATGACTGAAGGCAGAAGGACATACAAATATACTTTTTCAAAATTCTGTTCTTTCTACATAATAGAAATCTCCACACCGAACATTTGGAAGTACTCATGGAATTTCAGATCTAGAAGAAGAAACCAAGATCCAAATGGTTAAATGGCACCAAACCACATGCCTAATATTTGCACATGATCATCTGACTCAGGGGTGGGGAACCTGTTTTCTGCTGAGGGCCATCTGGATATTTATAATATCATTCACTTAATATAATTCACTTCATGTAACTGTATGTTGCTATGAAAGAAGCTCCTAGATTTATTGCATTTTGAGTCCTGCCTGCGGTTGCCTTGGCCGGGCTAGACCAAATGATTTCAAGGGCCTTATACGGCCCACGGGCCCCACCCCTGATCTAATCCCTTGTACATTGCTCTTCCTTGCACTGCCTGTTGGTCCTACTGTTATCCTCAGCTCAGGATACTTGAGGGAACTTCAGCAGCGTAATAAGTTCTTCAGCAGATGCTTAATGAACACCTATTATGTGAAAGATCTTGTGCTGAGTACTAAGGATATGAAAAGTAAATTCTTGACTTCAGTCACAGGAAACAGAATTTAAACATAATTGTGAGATAGCTCAGTATTGCAATGGAGGTCATTTCTTCTTTTAACTTTACATTCTATCTACCTACTAGATCTTGAACTCCTTAACCTACTATAGAATACTAGTCATGAAGTAAAGCTCAAAAAACTTGTAAAGTTTTCCATAAATAATATTAATGCAGCTTTTCTATATCAACGAAGAGGTGACCTGCCTCGATAAGCTACGGTGTATGTGTATGCATGTTAAGGCATTTTTCTCTTGCTATTTTTACAGAGTAATTGATAAGCTCGTTACTATGAGTCTGCTAAACTGTGAAATCAGCTGTGCCTCCAGCCAGTCTGAGAGCGACTGCTGCGCGGCCATGGCCAGCTCCTGTAGTGCTGCAGCAAAAGACGACAGCGTGGGCGCCACTGCCAGCACAGGGAATCTCTCCAGCTCTTTCATGGAAGAGATCCAGGGGTACGACGTCGAGTTTGACCCACCCCTGGAAAGCAAGTATGAATGCCCCATCTGCTTGATGGCGTTACGGGAAGCAGTGCAGACACCATGCGGCCATAGGTTCTGCAAAGCCTGCATCACCAAATCAATAAGGTACGTGAGCATAAGAAAGAACTGTGTCCTATAACAGAACCAAATACGGAGAACGATATTGCACAGGACACGGGACATCCCAAGAGTAGTCTTATATGTAAACACCTACTCAAGGAAAAAGAACACTGGACAGAAACTTGAGACATCTACATTCTTACCCTAGTTCCTACTGTGGTATGAAAGGTAATGTCTGTCTTCTACCCTCCTCTGATCCTCAGATAAATAGGTTCTCTATGCTTTAAGAAAATAATATAACACCTTAAAGGATAGTGGAGTATGATCAGCTCAACCATACAAAGAATGCTGACTCTATAATCGATCAGTGATGGTTTTAGCCACATTAAATTCTGTCTGTTATCTGATATCTGTGGACAAAAGTGAAATAACCAGTATTTTTAAAGAAAGTATTAGTCGATGCCTCTGCCTTTACAATATATCCAAAATTCAATCCCTTCTCGCTGCCTCCACTGCTGCCACCCTATTCTGAATCCCCGTCAGCTCAGTCGCAGGCCTGCTTCTCTCCTTGCCTTCCAGACTGTTCTCAGGGTAGCAACCAGAGGGAACCTGGTCATCTCTGCTCAGAACATTGCAGCAAGTCATCTGCGTGTGAGGCCCTGTTCTTAGATCCATAATCCGTTTTCTGACCTCCTGTCCACTATTCCCTCCTTCCACCAAGTCACTCTTTGCTGTTCCTTCAACATGCCAAGCATGCTCCTGCCTTGGGGAATTGGCTTTTGCTGTTCTCTCTGTGGAACATTCTTTCTTCAGTTAACTGTCTAGCTAACACCTTTCACTCCTCCAGTGTGGCTCAGATCTCACCTCTCATAGGTGACCTGGCTACCCTGTTTATACCACAGCATGCTCCCCTCTGTCGCCCCCCACACTCCCAACCTCTCTTACCCAGTTAGAAATAAGCTCCTTGAGCCCTAACCGGTTTGGCTCAGTGGATAGAGCGTCAGCCTGCGTGCGGACTGAAGGGTCCCAGGTTCGATTCCGGTCAAGGGCATGTACCTTAGTTGTGGGCACATCCCCAGTAGGGAGTGTGCAGGAGGCAGCTGATCAATGTTTCTCTCCCATCGATGTTTCTAACTCTCTATCCCTCTCCCCTCCTCTCTGTAAAAAATCAACAAAATATATTTTTTAAAAAAGAAATAAATAAAAAAAAAGAAAGAAGCTCCTTGAGAGCAGGGGTTGAGAGCTATTTTATTTCTGGATATTTCCTATGTGCCGGAAGTAGTGCCTGACACCCAGCAGTGCTCAGTATCATGGTTGCTTTAACTGAATGAAGGTATGTGGGAGTCCATCGATGATTCAGGTTCATCTCCCAAGAAGTAAATACATTTTACTTAATTCAAAAGTAGATGGGAATATTTTAGGTGACTAAGGAAGTAGTGGGAGGATTTTATGTTGTTCAGTAAATAAGCATCGAGTTATGTTGATGAAATCATTTGTAAGTAGGTAAAGCTGGCTACTTACTATATTGCAGATTTTTCTTTCAACTTTTAAATTGACTTTTCTTTTCTTGTGGCGTCCTTGTCTGGGTTTGGTATCAGGGTAATAAAATGAGTTTGGAAGTGTTCTTTCCTCTTCCATTTTTTGGAAGAGTTTAGGAACGGTAGGTATTAATTTTTCTTTAAATGTTTGGTGGGATTCACCAGTGAAGCCATCTGCTCCTGGACTTTTGTTGGTTGGGAGGGGTGTGGGTTTTTTGGGAGGTGATTACTGATTTACTCTGTATACTAGCAATCTGCTCAGATTTTCTGTTTCTTCATGATTCAGTCTTCATAGGTCGTATGTACCATATTATGGATCACTGACTTTTTGTAGATAGAGAGATGTATTTTATTAGTTTCATATGCCCAAGAAGATCATCTTTAGCAGTTTTTTAATAGCAAGATATTCATGAAAGTAATGGACAGTGGTCTTAAAAGGAAGTAAAACCCACAAAAGGAAGTCTGAGGCTTTCTTTTTCTATCTCCCTCTCAGCTAGAAATGACCGCTTACTTTGAGTCTAATGTTCTTAAAAGAATACCTTCAAACTTTCTCATCCATTATAATCATTCAGGAAACCAAAATACATGCTAATCCAGTTCCATTTGCTGTGGATAATGGTTTCCAGTTTACTTTGTAAGTTTGTTTTTGTTTTTTTCCTCTTTGACATCCATAACTTAGATCTTGGGTATCTATGTCAATAAATTTGTTTATAGTGCCCTATGCTTCTCATAAAAGATTTGACTATACTAAGACCATTATTCTGACAGAAGCCTCATTAAAGATTGGCTGTTTCTCTCACCTTTATTCTAAGGCATTTGACAGTAGACCCGTTTTTTACCTACCATGGCAATTTCCACTGTGGCTTACACACAGGAGTTGCTCAGCAAATGATTTGAGTGATTGATTAATGCTTCAGTGGTCTACCTGACCCGCCACATTTTGTGAGTGAAGATTTAGACATCCCAAAAAGTTAAAGGGAAGTGACAGATAACCAAACTTCCTGGGGAAGGTTTTCCCCATCATAAGATTAAGTAACCACTGGGAAACCACTGGGAAGGAGGAAATAGAGGTCCTTTAATTCCCTACTAAATTGTCCCCTAGACATAAAAACAAAGGAAAACTTTGGTTGTCCATGAGCTAGTGAAGTGTTATTGGTATTACGAGCAGCATATGTAGTTTATCTCACTAGCATGTTGTGTAGCTGCTGACAGAACAGAGGCCTGCCAGACTGCAAAATCCCCATCCTTAGCTTGACTTCATTTAAGGACAATCAAAATAGGACTTTATTGAGTTAATTTTTCTCATTTTTTTTTTGTTGTTATTGAAATCTATCCCACAGTCTAAAATCCCATAGTTTTTTGGGGCCTAGCTGGTTTGGCTCAGTGGGTAGAGCTTCATCCTGCGGACTGAAGGATCTCACATTCATTTCTGGTCAAGGGCACATGCCTGAGTTGCGGGCTTAGTCCCCAGTAGGGGGTGTGCAGGAGGCAGCCAATCAATGATTCTCTCTCATCATTGATATTTCTATCTCTTTTTCCCTCTTCCTTTCTCTCTGAAATCAATAAAAATATTTTTTAAAAATTAAAATAAAATCCCATAATTTTTTATAGGTCACCAATATGGTACTAGTTGTATTCATTGCATAAAGGAACAGTTCATGAACTGTCCATAAAAGGACAGGTGTTGGTTTTTTGATTTGGGTCGGGGGAGGGTAATATTATGCAATATAATGTGTTAAATTATTTTCCATAGGAAATAATAAATGGAGAGTGTATATGTGGTGAGTTATACACATATATAACTCTTTTAAACATGTAAAAGTTGTTTGTGTTTTTTAATGTTAATATTTGTTTAAGTCTACTAAATGTATGTATCTTATTTGTTTCTTTTAGGGATGCCGGTCACAAATGTCCTATTGATAATGAAATACTGTTGGAAACTCAACTCTTTCCTGACAATTTTGCAAAACGAGAGATTCTTTCTCTGATGGTGAGGTGTCCAAATGAAGGGTGTATGCACAAGATGGAACTGCGGCATCTTGAGGTACTAAAGTTATTTCTTAGCCTTAGCATATAGGCAAGGCAGTTCCTAGAGAATAGAGACTTTGCTGTGTCCATCAGTGTATTGCCGAGGCCTAGCATATAATTGCTTTCATCATCTATAATAATAAAAGTATAATATGCTAATTAGACCAGACAGCCCAGTGACCTTCTGGACGAAGACAGGGCTGCGAAGGCCGAGGCTAGATGCGGTGGCTGCGAGGGCCAAGCCCCTTGCACGAATTTCATACATCGGGCCTCTAGTTGGATATAAGTAGAAACCAGAAATTTCTAATTCCATCTTCTCTGGCCTAGCCAAATGAAAAAGAAATCAGTATTCTTTAAGTTTTGGGGTGAACATTATTAACTATAATACTGAAGAGCATTTTAAATACAAGTGTCACATTTCAATCCCATAACTTCACTTATTTCTATCTTTTTGTTTTTAATCCTCACCCTAGGATAGGAAGGACACACACACACACACACACACACACACACACACACACACACACATCAATGTGAGAGAGAAACATTGATTGGTTGGCTCCCGTACATGCCCCAACAGGGTATGGAACCCGCAACCTAGGTATCTGCCCTGACCAGGAAATCAAATCCTCAACCTTTTGGTGTATGGGACGATGCTTCAACCAACTGAGTCACCCAGCCAGAGCTATTTTTCTCATTTTGAAATAAGCAACAAGTCTCATAGCCATCATCTTGGTACCCTCATACTTTTTTCTCTTTTTTCTAAATTGTGCATTTTATTATTGACTAAATGGAGTCTTTCTATAACTTGAGATGAACTGAAGCAATCAGGTAAAAGAATTTGCTTTTAAATTAAATTCATTTTTAGCTTGGTGGTTTTATGAGAAATTAAGTATCATTTATGATTTATTTGAAATTAAGTGTTTAAAACATTTACACAACTTGTCCCTTTTCCTTAGGTCCTTGTGAAGGAGTAGCTGTTTTGAGAGAGAACAGTATATAGTCAGAAGAGATTATATTTAAGAGATTTCTTAAAGATTAGCAGGTGCTAATCAATTCTTTTTTTCTTATTATAGGATCATCAAGCACATTGTGAGTTTGCTCTTACGAATTGTCTTCAATGCAACCGTCCATTACAAAAGTGCCAACTTAATACTCACATTCTCCAGGAGTGTCCAAGAAGACAGGTTTCTTGTAAGAACTGTGCTATGTCAATGGCATTTGAAGATAAAGAGGCATGTACTACTTGGATTTCTTAATTTCACTACTTGTTAATTTGTTTTTATGTACATTTAAGGGCTTCACAGTAGATGAGGATGCTATTCCATTTCTGAGTCTATATTATCAGTTGTGGGAAGATTGATTTTTAAGAAAGAAAGTTCAGTAAACCATTTTAGTGACTAAATGTAGGGTTTATATTTGTATATCTTCTTTTTAATCATTTTTTAAAATACATTTTTATTAATTTTAGAGAAGAAGTGAGAGGGAGAGAGACAGAAACATCAATGATGAGAGAGAATCATTGATCGGCTGCCTCCTGCACGCCCCACACTGGGGATGAGCCCGCAACCCGGGCATGTGCCCTGACCGGGAATCAAACCGTGACCTCCTGGTTCATAGGTCAGTGCTCAACCACTGAGCCACCCTGGTCAGACTGTATATCTTTCTTAGAAAACATTGTTTATACTACTTAACAGCATAGTAGATCTGCAAGTAACAAAACCTTCCAGGAAAGACGTCCTGATCTGCTTTCCTATGTGATATTTTAATGATCAGTCTTGGATTTGAGACAAATAAGTAGAATGATACCTGTATAAGACTTATGCTTTACTCTCTGAAAAAGAGAATGGGATGTTAAAACTTTTATGGAGAATAAATTAAATTTAATCTCACAACGTGTGTTTTTTGGTGATAAATCACTGAGCTATGCACATATGAATTCACTTTTCTGGGAGTATGTTACACTTCAATTAAAATGTTATCATTAAAAAGAAACTTTGTGGCACTTAACAGCATCATTATGATAGAACAGTTTTTTCATATAACTATTAACATACTTCCTTAAACTTTATTTCTTATATAGTCAAATCTTGTTTCTTGATCATCTCAAACAATTCGGTCCTTGACCAAGTTGTTCACAGAAAAAATGTCTGGGTTGTGGAACCAAACTACGGCTTTAAACCTGACAACACTTTCATGCTGATACCTCAGCATGACAAAAAGTGTCTTTCAGGCAACAAAGGAGAGAATGCTTTTGTTGCTGGCAGAAATCAACAATTAGCACAATTTTAAAACATAAAGCGGCCTTATTAAGAGTGCTAATGTTGCTAAGGGTGTGAAAGAAGCAATAATCACAGTCAATTGAAGAGGTAGAAAAACTGAACCAGCCAAGATACTGCATGCTGACCTGAAAGACATCCTGGACCCAATGCTAAAAGTGATTCCTTTAAGGCGAGTAGGAGGTGGTTCGATAAATTTAAGAAAAGAAGTGTATTTGTACATTAGACATGTACTGGATGTAAGAAAGGTTAAAACGGAATCATTTGGGTGTCTGGAAAAGATTAATTCAATCTACATTATTTCTTTGGGGAAAAAATGATTTGGTTTTCAAACAAATTGCTTCTGGAATTAAGTTCGAGAACCAAGGTTCCACTATAAGTTTATCTTGGCAATTTTTCCTACTTTCTTATGCAATCAAGCATATTATACTCATTAAGTTGATGAAATGTTCAAAAAAGTCAGCTAACTTGCTAAAAAATGGGGAGAAGGCTGAGGCATAATTAGAACAAATTGATATTTTCCTAAACTTAAGTAAATTAAATGGATGTAACCTGAAGGGTTAGTTATTTCTCAAACTCATGTACTTTAGAAAACAAGGCTCACCCTTCCAGGGCCTGTGAGAATCTGAGCATCAGAGCCTCCTGCCCTAATAGTGCTCTGTTCTCTACCCCCCTAAGAACTTGAATTAGATATAGTATTGGTCAATGATGTCCAAATTAGTCACAGATGCCCTGCCTCTGGTTAAAAGAAGTGATTTCAAAGATTCTCTTTTGTGTACTGTATTCTTTGAAAGAGCTGAAACGCAAGATGTATCTCATTACTTACTAAACTGGCAGAGGGAGAGAAAACAACCTTTACATATTATTCTCACTTTTTTTATTTAACACACATCAAAGTCCTTAATTTGTTTATGGTGAAAAATTACTTTTATAAAAGTAAGGGGTTTTTTGCTTTTTCAGATTTTTCTCATGTTTTTCTTATATTTTTCTATTAAAATTTAGAGCCATGACCAGAGCTGTCCTTTGGCAAATGTCATCTGTGAATACTGCAGTACCATGCTCATCAGAGAACAGGTATAATGATTTCTTTTCATGAATGAATATTTCCATAATAGATTAAAGAAGTGGGTTCGGTTTTTTATTAAGTCAATACGGCAAAATGAATACAGGTTGAAGAAGTGTTAGAACTATGAAAATTTTTCATAAAATTAATAAATATGAATATTTCAGAAAAACAAATACTCAGCCCTAAGTACTTAAAGTCATTAATATAATCTCCATGTTTATGTATATTTATACAAGTTCCAGACAAAACCAGGTAATTTTTAAGATACAAATCATCAAATTTCCCATTTAAAGGGAAAAAAAACGCACCTTAAATATGTATTTACACACTGTGCAGTAAGGGTCATAGGTATCCAGAGACTAGCCAAAAGACCAATGAAATAGAGGACAGCAGGTCTGTTCAGTGGTAGAGCATTATTTGTCCCCATGGCCCCTGGGACACACTGAGAGATTCTGAGACTCCCAGGATCTGTACCCCTCTGTTCAGTTGTCCTATAAACCACTGATGGGGCAGCAGTAGCAGTTACAGTAGAAAATTGCATTTACATTATTAATAGAGATAGGAAAATTCCATCTGATTGCTATCTTCTGACATTTGGGGAATTTACCCACACAATTTGAATACTAGTCGCTATTTATACACCCATGAAATCTGCAAACCCAAAGATCATAATTGATTACCTTAATAATAACTAGAAGCAAGCAAAACCTGTCCCTCCACTAAACTTTTCCATTTGTCTAAACAGAGTCCTGTAGTTTTTTTCCAACAGTCTTTATGTGAAGGTGTTAAACTTTGTTTTGCTAATGAAATCTCACCTCCCTGGCTTTTCTTTCTGCTCTGCTGTAATATTTAAAGGAAACCATGCAGCGCATCTGAAACCCAGCAAAAATAAAACTTAATGTAGGAAAAAATCCTCGGTTAACAGAAAACGTGGGTTTTGACCCTGGTTGTGCCACTGACTTGCCGCTGATCTCTGGCAAGGAAGTTGAAATTCTAGATAAGGATCAGCAAAGCTGCCTGCAGGCCCAGTCTGGCCCACTGCCTGCTTTTATAAATAAGTGGTACTGGAACACACCCATGCCATGTGTCCGCACGTCGTCTGTGCCTGGTGTTCTCCCACAGTGACAGAGGTGAATACTTGGGACAGCGATCAAAGGGCCTACAAAGCTGCAAATACTTACTATCTGACCCTTTCTAAAAAATGTTGCTGTCCGCTGTTCTGGATTATGCAAAATTGAAAGATTGGGTTAAATGGTCTTTAATATTTCCGCTTGAAATATTTATGACTATAGCTAACCTAAATTTCTAAAGGGAATTTGGTAACCAGTTTCAAATATGATCCTCCATAATGGATCTTACCTTGAAGAGTCAGAAGCTGAGACATTCTTTAGAACCTTTATTAATGTGCTTATGAAATACTTTCTAACAGCTGAGTCTCCCATTATAGTCAAAACATGCCCAGGCTAACAAAAGGTTAGAAGGTTTGTGAAAGGTGGTCATGAGGGAAGTACCAGGTACAGTCCGTGGCTTTAATGTGTACAGTTGGCTGGTCCCTGTTAAATGGCCTGGGCCACAGTGAGAGTCCTGGTGAAGTTTGCAGTTGAGGCTGACGTCAGAAGGTGCTTTTTCTTTAAAATGCCACTATAGTGTTCCAGTTCCCAGCAACAGGAACAAATTCGTTTTCTTGAATTGAATTTTGAGTGATTTGGGGGATGGGATGTGATGTTGGTATTTCCTTTTCTCTGTGACTTTTGGAAGTAAATATTATTTTAATCTTTGTGGGCTACCTGGTTTCTGTTACAACTATTCAACTCTGCCATTGTGATATAGAGACAGCCATAGATAATACATGATTTTGTTTATATGAAATGTAAATCTTTATTTCAAGTGTAATCTCATTAACTAGAACATGATATGCAAGGAAAAACATTTTTCAACCTCTGCTTTGGTTTTCAGATGCCTAATCATTTTGAGCTAGACTGTCCTACAGCCCCAATTCCATGCACTTTCAGTTCTTTTGGTTGCCATGAAAAGGTAAGGTGTTTCTTTTTTTTTTCTTTTGACTCTTGAATATAGATCAAGAAAATTCATTTATCTAGTGCAGTGGAGAATACCAGTGGGAATGGAGGTACCTGACAAGGTTTTATCTTTCATAACCAAGGACACTTAGGAGCAAATGGTGTACACATTCTAGACTGGGCTCGGTCTCAGTCCCTCTTCAATACACTCAAAAAGCTAAATAACCAGAAAATAACCCTGGCCCCTTTACACACACATTTTGATGAATCAGCATACTGAGGAACACATCTGAAGAGCTAATGAATATTCTGTTCGCTCCTTCCCAAAGACCTCCCCTAGGATTCCATTGGCCAAAGAGAAGTTAAATAAAAGCTTCAAGACAAAGGATATGGCACGCTTTCCCTCCCAGGAGCACACCCACACCTTTCCCTTCCCCAGCTTCCTCCACAGGCGTGCATCTCCTAAACTTCAAGGGAATCCCACAAGACTTGCACCAGGCGAGCGGCGGGCAGTGGCAGCTCATCCCTTGAACCTATCATCAGGGCCCCAATTTTCTCTGACTGCCCAGTGAACTCACTGTCACTGTGACTTTAATTTCTCAGAGAGCCAAAACAGCCCCATCTAGGCTCTCTCATGTTACTTCCCCGCGCCTTGTATCTTTGCTGTTTTTCTCCTAAACTTTAAGGGACCCCATGGGACTTGCAACCAGGGGAACAGTACGCAGTGGCAGCTCTACCAGGCTACCCTCCTGAACCTGTGTCCAAGACCCCTTTTCTCTGACTTTTTCTCTCCTATTGCTTCTCCTACCTTACTGGCCCCAGCTTGAGTAAACATACTCTCAAAAGCCACCCAGAGTCATATTGTGAAGTCTTTACTACACCAAGTCAGGAGCCCACACACTACGGTCAGACCATTCTGGCCCCAGACCCTGTCCAGTAGCAATAGGATCGAGAATGATGGAGACAAAGAAGGTTGTAGGGGATTGAGAGAAATGGTGATGTTACTTAAAACCTTTTATTTAGCATGGCTAGGCCCCTTTCCTAATCCTCACAGTATCTACTCCCAGCCTAAGGCTTGTGCTTAATTTTTAGATGCAGAGGATTCACTTGGCACGCCACCTACAAGAGAACACCCAGTCACACATGAGAATGTTGGCCCAGGCTGTTCAGAGCTTAAACCTGGCTGCAGCTCCCATGCCTCAACGATACGAGCCTGCATCTCTGGCTCGGGTCCCCTCTGGGTGTAACTCAGAGGTCTACAATTTTCAAGAAATTATTCAACAGTTAGAGGGTCGCCTTGTAAGACAAGACCATCAAATCCGGGAGCTGACTGCAAAAATGGAAACTCAGAGCATGTATGTCAGTGAGCTCAAACGAACTATTCGAACCCTTGAGGACAAGGTTGCTGAAATAGAAGCACAGCAGTGCAATGGGATTTACATCTGGAAGATTGGTAACTTTGGGATGCACTTGAAATCTCAAGAAGAGGAGAAACCTGTTGTCATTCATAGCCCTGGGTTCTATACAGGCAAACCCGGATACAAACTCTGCATGCGCCTGCACCTTCAGTTACCAACTGCTCAGCGCTGTGCAAACTATATATCCCTCTTTGTCCACACAATGCAAGGAGAGTATGACAGCCACCTCCCTTGGCCCTTCCAGGGTACAATACGCCTCACAATTCTCGATCAGTCTGAAGCACCTATCAGGCAAAACCATGAGGAGATCATGGATGCCAAACCAGAGCTGCTTGCCTTCCAGAGACCCACAATCCCACGGAACCCAAAAGGTTTTGGCTATGTGACTTTTATGCATCTGGAAGCCCTAAGACAAAGAACCTTCATTAAGGATGATACTTTGTTAGTGCGCTGTGAGGTTTCTACTCGCTTTGACATGGGCAGTCTTCGGAGGGAGGGTTTCCAGCCACGGAGCACGGACGCAGGGATATAGCATCCCTGGTTTGTTTTTCTGAAAGCCTCCTGGAGAAAATGGCCTTTTCTTGCCCTGTTCGCAATAATAATATGTAAACAATGAAAGCAGTGGGAAAAATGGGATCCCCATCAGTGAATGTGGTGAAGGAGGTCGCTCTTGTCACTTGTACTTGTTTCTGTTACAAATACCTAAAGCAGTTTTTCCCTGGGACTCTACGTGTCCCCTGCTTTTTCAAGATGGTTACTACTGACTACTGAAGCACCTGTGGCACATGGTAGCAGCTACCTGTCATTAGTATACCTCTTTGTTGTGCTTTCATGGGCCTTTTTCCAGAAAGTTCTATCAAAAGCCCAGGGTTGGAGTAGTAAAGCTCAACCCTTTTAATAGTCATGGACGCTCCTTAAAACTTTAGCTTATTTTTCTAGTATTGTATGTAATATATTAAACTTGAGAATCACTACCACCTTGTGCTGGTGCCAGTGGGAAGTTGCTACTATAAAGCTGAGTTCTCATTTTATTTGACCACCGGTAGCCTTCAGAGGATTTGAACTTCAATCCTTGGAAAACTTAAGTTCTCATTCACCCCGTTTCCCTCCGGGGTGTTACTAAGGATATTCAGGGACTAGTTTAAACCCTGACTATTAACCTCACTTTTTTAGTGTGAACATGTCTGTTGAAAAATTCTTGTTAAAGCCTTTCATTCTTCCTTGCTCACTTATTTCTTCAGTACTACAAAGTAGCATTTTCAGAGTTTAGAATGCCAACAGCTCAGTGTTGTGCTGTAAACCCCTTGATGTCTAGTCAATACAGAGTGCGGTCCACAGCCCTGCAGATGTTCTCTGACGCTTAATGCTGTAGACAAGGAGAGGCACACACAATGACCAACATAACAATTTAAAATGGCTCGGCTAGTCGGCTAATACGCCTTCTCAGTGGTGGTGACAAAAGCTGTTTGAACCAGACATTTTCAGCTTTTCTGAACACCCTCTGGTTTAGTTAAGTGGAACAAAATTGATTGTCAAAGAGCAAAATTTCTTAATACTTGGGAGATCATTGGTGCTCCCTGAGCCGTCACCAAACTAAGGTTGGAAGTCATAGTGTTACATCAGGACTTGGCTTGAGCAGTTGCTTTAGTCCATACCTGGGGAGGACCATGTAGAATTCATTAAAGTGGCTAAATGCTCCTAATAGGGAGAGATGACGTCTGTGTCATTCTATGTTTGTTAAATTCTCATTCACCCCGTTTCCCTCCGGGGTGTTACTAAGGATATTCAGGGACTAGTTTAAACCCTGGCCTGTAGGTATCATGGTGACGTCTAGTTCTCAGGGTGTCCTCCAGCTAGTATGGGCTCTTCTCAGGAATCTAAGGGCCTTCGTATCTTGCCACGAAGTGGTTCGAGATTCTCCCCGGGATCGCCACCATGCGTGCGCACTTACCCACCCCCAGAGCTGCCACTGCGCACACCCACAGCTTCACTCACGGGGGCAAGGGAAAAAGGCTTGCCTATTACTCCTGTCAGTGCACTTCGTGGGAAAGAGAGGGTGTGTCTCTGAAGTTAATTGTCACTATGTGTCAAAGAGTTTAGAGAACAATGATTAAGGAAACATTTTCCCGATTGATGAAAAATAACTCAGCTATACTAATCTACCCCTGCTGGAAGGTTATTATGTAGCATGCAGTGTATTATGTGGTGCATAATAAAATTTTTAAAAAAAAGAATCTAAGAGGACCCATACACTATCCAGTTGGCACAAGGCTGTTTAAAGTTGTGTGGCCATGAGAGATTGTACTGCCTCTCCTGAGAAGCCATTTCAGAGCCCCCGACCAGTGTTCAGGATCAGCCTCAGAAAAAGCTAAAAACCGTTCTCATCGATGTTTCTAACTCTCTATCTCTCTCCCTTCCTCTCTGTAAAAAATCAATAAAATATTTTAAAAAAAAAAAAGAATCTAAGAGGACCCATACACTATACAGTTGGCACAAGGCTGATTAAAGTTGTGTGGCCATGAGAGATTGTACTGCCTCTCCTGAGAAGCCATTTCAGAGCCCCCGACCAGTGTTCAGGATCAGCCTCAGAAAAAGCTAAAAACCGTATGATTTCACTCATGTGGGATATAAAACTGAAACGCAGAGACACAGACGACCCTGTGGTGGTTACCAAAAGGAAGGGTGGGGAAGCAGTAACGTGTAAAGGGGGCCAAAGTATGGTGATGGGAGATGATTTGACTTTGGGTGGTGGGCACACAATGCAGATCATGTATCAGAGAAATCTACACTTGAATACTAATCCTACTAACAAATGTCACCCCAATAAATTTAATTAATAATTTTTTTTAAAAAAGATCAGCCACAATTTCAAGAAGAAGCAAAGAGACTCTGTGGAGAAGAAAGCTTTCGGTTCCAGGCAGAGCCAGACTGGAAAGTCACTTTGATCTTTACCTTTACTTACCTCTCTACCCTCCCTCCCTACCCCACATTTAGGCTCCTGCTCTGGTAGGTTTATGTTCTAAAATGAAAATCATGCCCAGCCGGTTGGCTCAGTGCAGAGAGCATCAGGCCCAGACTGAAGGGTCCTGGGTTTGATTCTGGTCAAGGGCACGTACCTCAGTTGCAGGCTCCATCCTGGCCCTAGGGCCCATGCGAGAGGCAACTAATCAATGTATCTCTCTCACATGGATGTTTCTCTGTGTCTCCCCCACCCAACCGCCTCCGTTCCTTCCAGTCTAAAAATCAATGGAAAAATATCCTCCAGTGAGGATTAACAAAAAATAATAATTAAATGAAAATCAAGGTCATGCAGAGACCCTGTTCCCCAGTGCATTGTCAGTACCCCCTGATCATCGACTAGGTGGCAGTCTGTCCCTTAGCTACCCCGCTTTCCAACTGGCTCCCTCTCTCTCAGCAGGGACCCCGGAACCCCTGCTGTCCCTGTGATTGTGTGTCAGAGGAAAAGTAATCGTCATGTTCCATTTACAAAGTAAATGCTGGTTATTTTTGTTGCCTAGGAAAATGTCTGAAGGAAATATAATAAACTATTTTTGATGGCTTATTTTCTTTGTGCTTCCTTGTATGTTTTACATTTTCTATAATAAACATGTACTTTCACCAGAAAAAGTTAAATGTTGCCACAAAACATTCAACCTCACCAAAAAAGGAAATGATATTTAAAAGCTTCCTGGTCTGGTCAAATTTCTATTAAAAGCATGACTGTGCATTAGGTACTGAGGAGTCATTTCCTGCTTTGTTTTTTGTGGGGGTTTTTTTGTCTTTTTTTTTTCTCTACTCAGGAATCTTAATCCAAATAGTAACGGGAGTTTTTAATCTAACTTCAATTTCCAGCTCCAGGTTTCCTATTTGTAAAATGAGGAGTTGGGTTAGATCAGTGGTTCTCAACCTTGGCTGCACATTAGAATCAGCTGGGAGTCTTTAAAATCCTGATTTCTGGGCCTCATCCTCTGGAAATTGTTTCTTTGTTACTAATGTTGTGGCCCCACCCCATAACAAAGAAACAGAATTTCCGGAGGATGAGGCCCAGAAATCAGAACTCCCAGGTGATTCTAATGTGCAGCCAAGGTTGAGAACCACTGGGTTAGATGTTTCTAAGGTCCACTCCAGCCATAAAATTCTGCTTTAAGACATTAGGTTCTAACTAGCAGCATATCAACAATACTTACAAAAGGGTTTTGCCAGTAGAAAATTGTTTTAGCTTATTTTTTGCTGACAGAATACTTCAACTGGGTCTGTCAGCTGGGTCTCACTGTAATTTTAATGAGCAATGTTTTTAATCCCTAACATTGGCATTTTGTAATACACCAGTCCTTATTTTAGACTAGTCATTCATTGTGAATACAGACTAAAAGTAATGATCAAACTGTCGTTCCAAATAGACGCATTTGTTAAGACTTCAACTCGGAAGCAAGTCTTTTCTGGAAAGCAGGTGTGTTTTTCAAATTCCTGCCCCCCTCTCTGAGACAGGCTGGTGTCACTCAGCTGGCCTACAAGTGTTTGGGCCATGTGTTTATATTTTATCAACTTTTAACGTATTTATCGCTTGACAATATTCTTGGACATTGCTAAATTGAAAATAAATTGTTTCCTCGTTTCCCAGACATATCTGACCCAATGTTAGAGGAAACTTGCCTCAAGACATACATTTTGCTCTTGGAAAACAAGTTGGGATGTTGGTTTGTAGTTGGGTAGTTTCTTACTACCCTTTGGCTGTTGCAGCAAAGATACATAGTTTCTGGCTATATCATAATACAACGATGTTCACCCGTGTGCCACAAGTCGTAAGTCAAGGCCCCACTGTAGTTTCTGGCTATATCATAATACAACGATGTTCACCCGTGTGCCGCAAGAATTTTTAAAACATGCAATACCTGACTATTTAGTCAGGGGCACTGACCTCTTTTCCTTTAGACTGTGAAATTAAAAAAAAAAAAAATGACAACGGCCAACACAACAATAGCCACTGGTGTGAATGAATAAAAATCACACCGATTTTTTGGTCAGATCGGCAAAAAATACCTTTTTTGGGGTGCTGCAGAATTTCAGTCATTCGCTTATGTGTGCCAGGAGATGACGCAGGTTGAGAATTGTGGCTATGATTCAACTTTTATTTTGAGGAATAAAAACAGAAGAGAAAAAAGTGAAATAGAACGAAAGGTGAAGAGATGTTGGGTGGGTAGTTTGGGGGCAGGTTTGAGATTAAAAAATGTCCCTGCATCACTGCTCATGCCAGGAAGTCTTGGATAAACTAAGAGAACATTTGTGACTTGTGCATGCAATTAGGACACATTCCCCCAGGGAGAGCCCTTGCTTGTCATTCCTCTCTCCAGAGAATCTCCGGTCTCTGATCACCAGATGTTTTTCATTATTTCAGAGGTTTCTCTAACTTAAGACTTTGAAGTACTTCTCCTTCATTCAGTTACTGCTGCTCTTTTCTTGGCTTGCCTCAAATTCTACTCATCGTTTTCTAGAAAAATACCATCAGGTGTTTGGGGGATGCCTAGCTCCTTGGCAGTACAATGCCTTTAGGGCAGTGGTCGGCAAACTCATTAGTCAACAGAGCCAAATGTCAACAGTACTTCTTCAAAATAGACTCGCCCAGGCCGAAAACCGACTTCTGCGCGTGGGCCACAAAGTTTCAATCGCACTGTACGCGCGCCCGCACGTGGTATTTTGTGGAAGAGCCACACTCAAGGGGCCAAAGAGCCGCATGTGGCTCGCGAGCTGCAGTTTGCCGACCACGGCTTTAGGGAAATGAAAAAGGGAAAATAAAGAGTCATTTGTATTTTTCTTTTGAAAAACATTTAAGTTCCCAGGTTCGCATGATGACTTGTAGTTTCATAGTTGCTGCCGTTGCATCTGTAGAGTGGGGTTGGCACCTCCAGATTCCCTGTATCCAGAGAGATGATCTGGTGAAATCCAGCGAGATGGGTCTGCAGATTGTAACCTTGAATCACAGCCTTCACTGTTATCGGACAATGCCGGGTTGTTTTTGCTAAATGCCACCTAAGCCTTTAATGCTTTAAAGCTTTCTCCGCCCTGAAAATTTGAATTATTATAAAATACCTGTAAAGTGGGGACCAGAATTTGGAATTTAGATGTTGTTATCTAATGGCTAACACTTATTAATGCGTGGATCTATTAAGAAAGACACTATGAATTTTTAAAAATTTTATAGCTGTATGACACGCCATGGGATGAAATCTGACTTGAAAAATCGAAGCACACGGTGCAAGAGTTCTATCAAAAAACCTGCTGTTGCCCAGCTGGTGTGGCTCAGAGACTGAGCATAGTCCCATGCACCAGGAGGTCACAGGTTCAATTCCCGGTCAGGGCACATGCCCAGGTTGCAGGCTCGATCCCCGGGAGGAGGCGTGCAGGAAACAGCTGATCAATGATTCTCTCTCATTGATGTTTCTATCTCTCCCTGCCTCTCTCTGAAATCAATGAAAACATATTAAAACACACACACACACACACACACACACACACTGCTATTCTTAGAACTTAACTGTCACGGCAGAATTTGTGAGTGGGTCTTCCTAACCCATCTGGACTCTGCCATTAATGTGTTTTGTGAGAAGGAGCGAACACAAATTTGGGAGAAAAGGGACACTAATCACAGAAAGACTGAAAATCAGGGTTCCATTGAAGAGCAGGTTGTATGGAAGGGGGAGGAGCTTAAAGAAATTACTCAGATTTACTGCAACACACTCTCTCCTAGGCTTCCCACTCCATCGCCACGCACAATGTGAAAAATGAGCCCTGGCCTGTCTGCCTGTGGCTTAGCCTTAGAGGGTCTCCCTCAGGCCCGACCACTGAGGTGAGGGTTGCCTGAGGGGTAACAGGGTCAGTGGGCTCCACTGAGTAGATGCATGACCTGCTCTTTCTAAGCCCAGATTACGAATGAAGAATCACAGTGATCTCCCAAAGGCACAAAGGGTTGTTTACTAGATGACATCTTAGTTGAGGTTGCAAGGATATGACCAAAACAGTGTTTCCTGAATGGCCCCTTACTGAATACTAGAGGCCCGAAATTCATGCAAGGGCCTTGGCCCCGGCCCCTGCCCGCCACTGCCACCTCTGCCTCAGCCCCCGCCCACTGTGGCTTTGTCTGGAAGGAAGGATGTCCAGAAGGACGTCCGGTCTAATTAGCATGTTACGCTTTTATTATTATAGATTAGGTAAAAGAAAACAAAT